CCAAGCTCGCTCACTTCATCGCCCTGCCTCATATCATCGCCGACCGATCCACCTCATCCAAGCGCGTTGCCGTGGTGTTCCTCCTTTCTAAAGCTAGGTCAGTCTTTCCGCTCTTGGTCTGTGCATATCTTTTGCGCAGCCCCATCCTTGCGCGCTACTTCCCTGAGCAGCGTATATCAAAATTCGCAGGCAGAAGCTCGAGAGCTGGAAAGTTAACCTGTAACAGTCCCAACCCCATATAGCAAATATCCCCCTGCTACCTTGCACAAGTCGACACCATGGTGGACGCAAAGATTCAGTATGTATTACTGCTAGCACATTCACCGCTACATGAGCTAACCTTGCGCAGAGAGCTTCTATCCAAGCCGCGTTCGGAGTTGACGTACGTACACCCTCCAATCCACAACAGTTCCTGTACTGACATTGCTGCCTAGCGAGTACGAAGTTGCTCAGGTCGAAGAACATGAGCTCACTACCGGCCCCCTCTCCATCCTCCAGACCGCCGTCCGCTCGCGCACACAAGTCCTGATCTCGTGCCGAAACAACCGCAAGATTCTCGCACGTGTCAAGGCTTTCGACCGTCATTGCAACATGGTTCTCGAGAACGCGAAAGAGATGTGGACTGAGACTCCACGGTTAGCCAACGGCAGCTACGGAAGGAAGGTCAACAAGGACCGCTTCATCTCCAAGCTGTGCGTTCAAATTACACTCTACATTTGCGCATGCGCTGACTTCTCTAGGTTCCTACGCGGCGACTCGGTCATTCTTGTATTGCTATCATAAGAGCTTGGAAGCACTGGGGATTTGGGACGGTAGCGCCAGATCGAGCGCACGAAATGGAGTTGGAATGAATTAAAAGTTACATAACCGTCGCGAAATCGGCGAGGAACACCGAACGAATCAAACAACGATACCCCAACTTCTACTTCTTCAACCCGTCACTCAGGCCCAGTAGGAGCTCCGCGAGGCCATGCGCGCCAGGGTCTGGAACCTCTTGGAAACCCTGGCCTCCAACGTAGACCGTTCGCCCCAAGCTCGCTTTCATACCCTTCGTCCCTTGCGCGCCACCTTGTGCCGCCGCAGCCGCTTTGTCGATACTTTCCGTCTTAGACAGCGTCTCAACGAACGGATAGAGGGCATCCATCAGCGTTCGGTCACCGGGTTTGGCAGGAGTGTATTTGCCGAGTGCCTTGAGCGATGAGTCAAGGGCCTTGGCCCAGATTGCGGGTGTGACAGGCTGTGGCGACGAGGGCGCGTTTTGGCGCAATCCATGCGCCAGCGCATTCAAGAAGATGGCGTAGATTGCACCTGACGTGCCGTCCATAGCCAGTTCCACCACTTGAATGATGTGATTCATGAGGATCAGCAGATCATCTGTCTCCTTTGCCGTTTCGAGCATCTCGAGAATTGCTGTTGGGTGTCAGCGCCAGGCATCAATGCACACGTGATGATAGCCTACCTTCTGCGCCACGCTTGAGTCCTATTCCGCAATCGCCATCTCCAACTATTGTGTCATATCGGGTGACGTCTGGCTCAGCCTTGATGAGTCTGTTCAGCGCAACTGTCAAGGTTGACTTGGCCTGGGCATAGTTGACTACTCAAGTTAGCGGGCGTCATACGCAGCTCTGCAGGTACTTACCTCTCAGATCACTTGGTTGAATATCTTCTTCATCCACCTGCTCCTCGTTCTTCTTCGCTTCTCCCCGTCTCGCCCATGTGCTGCTACTAATCGCCGCAGACCAGCCACTTGCCTCGGCAGGCGCGTCAAGCAGCTCGAGCATTGAAGTGTCGGCGACTCTAAGCAAGCTAATGGAGAAGCCCAATCCGTTCAAACTGGTCATGAAGGTGCCAGCTAGAATACGCCCTGGCTTGATCTTGAAGCTGTCCGCCAATTGCTCGACGACTTCGTTCGTGATTCCGCTTAGCTCGAGTGGACTGACACCTCCCAGGTTGTTGACCAGTAGTACCACATCGTCCTTGTCGGTGATCTTGGAGAAGCTTCGGTCCTGGTCCGCTACGTCCAGACAATGCGACAACATTGTCTTTACAAGACCAGGTAGATCGATCTTCTTGCGCTCTGAACCGGCTTCATTATGGATGCCCATTCCAATCTCGACTAGGCCTTCAGCCAGCTCGTCTTCCTCTGCCTCTCGGCGACCTGGCACGTGGACGTGAGCCAGTGAAGAGCCGATCGAGACGGTGTTGTCTGCGACGAGCTGGGCCATCTGCGTTACATCTTTGAGATTCGCTCTACAATGATGTCAGCTTCCTTATAGGCATGATGTTGGTGTGGTGCATACCCTTTAGCAGCAAGCGCACCGGCAATCTTCTGGACGAGCACTGTTCCCGCAATACCTCTGCGTCCGACCTTACCTCCTTTCGCACGCCCTACACCCGCATCGTCGCCGACTACCACCATGTCGACTTCAATACCAGCAGCGCGCGCTTTCTCCACTGCCATGCCGAAGTTCAGCACATCGCCAGTGTAGTTCATTACAATCACGAGGACGCCCTTGTCCTTTTGAATGCGATGCAAGATACATCTTCGCACCTGCTCTGCACTTGGCGAAGCGAAGATGGTACCTGCGACTGCTCCGGATAAAAGGCCCGCGCCGACAAAGGATGCGAATGAGGGTTCGTGACCACTACCACCTCCGGAAACTATGCTGACTTGCGATGCGCCATTCTTGCGGTAGACGATCTTGTTGTTGATATCGCATTGCACGGATGGGTTCGTCTGAGGGATGCTGAGTAGCGCGGTGTTGACGAGGTGTGTCGGGTCGTGGATGAAGTGTCTCGCTGAGTACGTTAACTATCTGATCGCATAGGTTTTGATGGGAATGCATACATGACATTGTGATTACTATATGTCCAGCTCAATGGAGTGCGCGAATTGGTGCAGAACGACGGAACACAGAGCGGATGGAAATCGCAAAAGTGGCATGACGAAAGACCAAGAAACCTTCAATACCCGACCCGACGACAAGCAATCATTCCACCATTCCTTCGTGTCATTTGACATATGCCGACATAGCCTGTGGCCACACGGAAACGCGTCCGCGTTCCGTCTTGTTTCCAGGCGTTTGGAGAGCTCCAGTGCTCTAAGTGGGGTTGCGCAGATGCGTGAGGGGTAGCTTCGCGTTACTGTGGGGTCGCTCCTTCCCCCGAGCCCCGAATGTCAGCAAGCATAGGTGCCGGCTTCCTCTTCTGGGTGATCCCGTACCAAGTTTCGGTCTTCCGACCACTCCTACACCAAGCATCGACGACTACGAAAAGCCTCATATGGGACAGGTCCGGGGGCTGGAGCTCTTGTATGCGGCCATGCTTGCTTTTTCGCTCTCGGCATTCGACGATCGGACCTCACCTACGCGCCCAGAGCTCATTACCCAACAATACGACTTTGGGCATGAATGACCGATTGCCGCCGTGATGATCGTCAACTGGGCACGAAGCCCTTATGTTCATGGAGGAGATGGCGAGACGCGCTCATTCCTACCATTAGCCCGCCATTGCAGTTATGGAGCGGTACCCAGAGTGTGAGTTGATGGCACATACCCGTGATTGTCTGAGCCTTCGACTGGCTATGGTACCTTCGCTACCACGAAGTTTGTGCGGAGCCACATGGACTCGCACACATCTGCGAGAATCTCAATATCTCATGTAGCTTCACACGTACATTCACTACCCGCCTGCCTCAACAATCATGTCTCAGCTAGAATCCTCCATTTCGTGCGCTGAGAGACGTTACAAAATCAATGCAAAGAGAAGTCCACTATACGCCCTTCCCTACGAGGTCCTAGCCCATATCCGGGGGTACTTGGATCACACCGAGAAGACTTGCTTTGCGCTGTCAGGCGCCAAGTTCTTCAAAAGTTTCCCATCCATCACTGTTCCAGAAGAGAAAGTCGGCGATACCAAGATCGACGTCTATCTTCGGCTTCTGAGAGACGACTTCTACAGAGAAACCCACAAACGACTGGGAATCTGGTGCGTCTATTGTGCAGATGTGCACAAGGATACGCGCTTCATCGAGAGCATGCTCTGTCGCCCACGGCAGGAACGCAAATGTTCCTCTAAACTCAGACTGTGCCCACACAGGTCCTACTCTCTGGACTACTTGAGAGATAAGGTAGAAAGAGCTGTATCTCTTAGGGGTAGGCAGGCCATGTACTTTAGTCTCCGGTGCTATACTTGCGAAACAGAGTTGAAAAAAAGCCAGATATACTTCACCAATTGTGCCGTCACATACGATCAGACGTCTGGAGACTATGTCATGAGAAGTGACATAACCATAGGCTTTTCGAAAGCAAAAGGCTCGGGTTTACATACAGAAGCGCGTAGAGTCCTACAAAAACTCGATTTCACAGCGTGTCTTCACAGACAAATTTCTGAGGAAAGCACCATAAACCGGTTTGTCGATGCCGAAATCGGGGCCGTCAAAGCAGAAAAGCAGGACCAAACCCATCGCGTACATTGCGAGCACTGTAAAACGATGGTACGAACCAGATACGTCAAATCCTTGTGTTTTTCGCCTCACAAACCAGGAGCAGCAGCAGCGGAAACCGGACTGAAGATAGATATTATACGTAACTTGGGCAAATTGTCAAACGAAGATGATTCGACATGGAGAGCGCATCTTCGAAAGCGGCAATTGAAAGTCACAAAGAATTAAGGCGACCTGGGTTCGGCTTGAACTGGGTTGGATACCACGATGAGAGAGTGGGAGAGCAAGAGCTATGTGCATGGCCGCCAAGATGGAGAGCGGTCGGGCCTTGCGGAGTATATTCGGCATGAACGCTTCGAAGCTACCCCACCATCTGATAAGATTCTGATCTACACCCCCACCAACCCGTCGCGTCGAGCTTCAGCGCCAGGCCATCGCGTCCTCAAGCCATTCGGCTCATCTCTCAATTTGCGCGTCGCATTGCTCAACCTCTAGATCCTCATTTCAAGATACCACAATCCGCGTTTGTCTTTTATATCGAAACCTCAAAGCGAAGATGGCCCACCCAGGCACCGCCCATAAATACACCAAAGGCCTCATCGCGTTCGAGCATGCCTCCCCTTCCTCCCCTTCCTCCCCACAACCACACACCATCCTCTGGATAGGCGGCCTAACAGACGGTCTCCTCACCGTTCCCTACCCCTCGCTCATCGCGTCCTCCCTTTCACCAACCTGGTCTCTCGCCGAAGTCCTCCTCACCTCCTCCTACAGCGGCTGGGGTACCGGAAGCCTCGCGCGCGACGCAAAGGAATTAGGGGAATGCGTGGCATATTTTAAGGCAAGGCGGCCGGGGAAGAAAATTGTGCTCATGGGACATTCAACGGGGTGTCAAGATATCATGGAATATTTGCTGGGGAAAGGAAATGAGGCGAGGGAGAAAGTGGATGGCATAATACTGCAGGGTGGTGTTAGTGATAGGGAGGCATGGGAAGATTACTACAAAGAGGGAGAGAGAAGAAAGCAGCTTGACGATGCGATTACGATGGCTAGAGAATTGGTGGACAAGGGGAAGGGAGAGGAAGTCTTGTCGCCGGAGAGTAATCCTGTGATCAAGGACATGGGCGGCCCTCTCAACGCATATCGCGCATACTCCCTACTTGCAAAGGGTGGTGACGATGATTACTTTTCGAGCGACCTTTCCGACGAACACTTCAGGAACACGTTTGGCAGGATACCAGACACCACAACGGTAATGTTTTTACTAGGGGCTGAGGACCCGTATGTGCCCGCAAGTATCGATCGGGCGGCTCTACTTGAGCGCTGGACAAGGATAATACGGGAAGGAGGTGGAGTAGTAAATAGTATAACTGGTGGTGTGGTACCGGGTGCTCATCATAACCTTGATGGGGATCCAGAGGAGGTTGTGCAGGATCTGGTAGGAAGGGTTGTTGGGTTTGTTTTTGCGTTGGGTCTGGAGATGACGTGGAATATTTAGTGGTGTTGGATCTTTGGCTGGGATAGGGTCTCTGCAGTCGAAAGAGGACTAGGAGCAGCGGTTTTGTACAATTGAATGACAATGTAGACCTCTGTGCTTCGATTTTTTTTAAAAAAAAAAAACACATGAGAAACGCTATTCTTCAAAGTAATATATTACTGTGGCATGCTGACCGCACACATCGCTGCCTCTCGAGCACACCCTACTCAACGATATCTAGCTTTTGGTATCCCCATTCCAACCCGACCCAATCCATAATGCCGTTAATTCATCCTATCCCCCAAGCCAAAAGCAAGGAGAAGAGCATCCAAAGTCCTCTCACATATCAATACCTCAAACGCCCACGCAATGCAAAAACAGCCCATTCCATCTCGCGCCACACTCAGTCAAACCCACTCCTCCACTGTTTCCCCATAAGCTTTTTGGTTTGCGTCGCAAAGTAGTGCTTCCGTCTTCGCTCTCGCTCTGCTGGGCTCCGCTCTGGTTCTTCTGTTTCTTCAGCTGGTAACACCTCGGTATCCTAAGCCCCCGGTATACCACCAGGCTCCTCAAACACCGCTTGAACGACCCATTGCTCGCCGAACTTGATACCTTTCCCGCCACTGATACCAGCGTTGCGCCAAGGACGATTAACACCAATATCCACGATCCAGATAAGCCACTGCGGATCGCGTCCGGAGCCGTTTTGAAGGGCTTTAACAAGCCCTGTTCGTGGCGCGCCGAGGCAGACAATGTACTTTGCGCGGACTTCGAGGGGCTCACCTTCTAGGATGGAGACTTCACCTGTGGAACCGCCGACGCCAGAGGGTGTTTCGACCGCGAGGCATGCTGCACGCGATTTGTTGGCCCAGCCGACGATATTGAGAACTACGCGTTGGTCCTGGTCGCCAAGGGCTTCAAATTCTTTGTGGCGGCCGAGCAGAGCATCAATAATAAGTTCCGGTGGTGCTTGAAGACGCTTTAGAGCTTCTTCAGTCGCGTTCCAGGAGCGGACGGTGCCGCCGAATTTGCGGAAGAGCTCGACTTGACGGCGTATGTCCTTGTCCCAGTCTGCGTTGCGTTCGAAGCCGAGCAGGGCGACCATGACTTTTGGACCGCGTTGGGCGAGGTGTCGTGCTGCTGCTACGGCGCGTGCGCCTCCGCGATGGTTGCCTGCGAGGACCACAATAACGGGGTTGGCGTTTGGATTGGCGCGCGAAAGACGCATGCCTCCGGGATTTATAGCGGTCAGAGCAACTTCTGCGATACCTCGTCCTGAGTTCTCTGCCATGATGTCTTCATTGAGGCCAAAGTCCACCTCGGCAGTTTCCTCTACGGCCAGCATAGCGCCAGGAGTAATGGCGAAGCACTTGCGGTTGTTAGACACCAGTCGTAAGCAGCCCTTAGCGCTAGACTCGAGAGGTGACTCTGGTGGTGTCGCAACGCGCCCTGGCCTAGGGCTACCAGTAGCATGTGAGGACGTGTAGGGTCGGTTGATGAACGAACGGTTAGTGCGCGGCAACACGCCTGAGCCCATCATATCCATGTCGGCCTGTACGCTGCCTTGCCTTGTTGGTGCCATCTTGACTGAAGCCCTGGACATTGCTCGTCTAGAGTTACGTCCGCTGCCAAAGTCCTCCTCTTCCTCCTCAGAGCTTGTGTTGGTCGTGCTTTTTAGCTTCCGGTCCAACACGTTTTCCGTGGGATGAAGGTTCTTTCCGCCGTGTGTACCAGGTCTAGCCAAGCGATTGAAGCTGACCAGGCGGTCCTCGTCTGCAGTGGTATCCTCATTCCTAATCTGATTGAACACCGTACGCTTGTCAAACTTGGAGAGGTTACTCTGGAAGTCGAACTCGGGCATGTCCTGGATGTCGGTCGCGTCTTCTGTGGCCCAGCCGTTCGTAGCTTCGAGCGCCTGTTGCCGTTTCGTTTTGCGATTCGACGCGTTCGCCGCTGCGAGACCGACTCTACCGCCGATGACTCCGGGAGTCCTCGTTTGTGGCTGTTCGGCGGCTTGTAGCATGGGAGTGTTTCTCCAACCATTGCCTTTGCTAGTATATGTTAGCTCTTGGATATGCGACAAAGGATATGGAATCCAGAATCCCACATACCCTTTCTTGACCGCCTCAACGTCACCGTTCTTCCTCTCTTGAGCGGCAAGTTCCTTCTTACGAGACTTGCCCCCTCTTCGAGTCTTCTTGCCATTGTCGTCGTTCTTTTGCGGGCTGGGGTCGTCCATAGGCTTGCCGGTCCTCGTCTTGGTGATGCTTGCCCTTCGCGCATTCACCTGTGCGGTCCGCGCCTCACTGTCCGCCTCCTCAGCATCTGCAATATCCAGGGACGAGAATGGACCTTCCAAAGTCGCAGCACTCGGCTTTCGGACGTTGTGTTGCTTCGCATGGCCTGCGAACGAGGACGTGTTCTTCGGTACAGCCGCCGCGCTCGCAGCAGCCACCGGCTTTATAGGCGTCGCAGGAGCTTCCTGAGGGGTTGCGGAAACGGGACCACCCAAGATAGGGGCGGTAGAAGTGCGCTTTCCCATGCTGAGAATCGCGGGGTCGACAAATGGCGCAGCTTGAGCTGGCTGAGGAGCAGTCTGGCGAGGTGCTTGACGAGCATTCTGGTAGGCAGGTGCGCCTGCAGGCGGGATCCCGGACGGCTGGCTAACAAGATGCGGAACTTGTTGGCCCATATGCTGCGACTGGCGCTGGACATGGCCCGGAGGATACTGCGAGTGTGAGTATGCCTGCGGGCCTGATCGCGTGGGCAGAGGTTGGGGAGGAGCGGGCGCCGACGGATTAACCTTAATGTCTGCAATCATTTGTCCTTCTACCGTGTAGGAAGCGACACGGTGACCGGAGTTGGGGAAGAAGACTGCAGACGTCAGCGTATGCCCATATTCATGAATTCTGGCTGCGGTGTACCATCTTGGAGAACGAGTGTAGCTGTCTGCTGGTCCACGGCGCTGACCACGCCCACGACGACAGCACCTGGGGGAGACTGCAGCGTGACGGCGACCGACAATCCGACGAAAGCGCTCGCCATGTTTGCGGTAGATCGGACGTGTTGGAGGTGGAGCGGTGATCCCGAGTCCGTTGTAACCCCAACCTAACTATTTCGCGGGTCGTGCTTTCGCGCTAACGCAGTGGTCAGCCACAGTCTAGCCTCAACGGCCGTCTTCACATGCTTAGCATAAAAGGGACACCCGGTTACAAGTTGCGCCAAGGTACCCTGCACATGGAAGAAAACAAACAAAAGATAATAGGGGCCAAAGACTGCAAGAGCTTGAGATGCGGGATCTTTTGGAATGTGTAAGAGCGATCTAGACTTCTGGTGTATCTTCTCTCTGTGAAAGTATCTAGATAGGCACGCGCTCCGCTTTCCCTTGAATGACGTGCACTTGGAAAGGAGACAGAAGGAAGAATAACTCATGTTCATTACGCGTTTTCATCTAACTAAGGCCGCCTCATCACCTAAAAGCAAATCAAAAAGTCCAGGGTATCCATACAATCGTTCCATGTCATCGCACTCCATCAACCACGAGGCGCAAGTCGCGTGCGCCTCGACTGATAACGCGACATTTCCAGCTCCGCATCAAACAAGCACCCACGAGGCCACACTGCCAAACATGCACGAGTATGCCCTCTTATTATTCCAGGTAGCCAGGCTCAAACCCCGTGCATCCTTCTTGTTAAACTCTGTTACGGCCACAATGGAAATCTTCTGGCCCGGCGCACCGAGGTCCATGCGCGGGAAGTCGAGCCACCAAGTGCGCCCGTCCGTGTTCAACGGCTTGTAGTCTGGCTTCCGGCCGTCTCTGCCAGCAACGCTTAGGAGCATAATGTAGGGCGGACCCTTTCCGTTGATCTGGGGATCCCAGTGCGGGCAGATGAATGACATTTGGAACCGGACTACTGCCGGTGCGTAGGGGTCGTTTACTTTGATTCTGGCTTGTGATGGTTCAAAGGTTTGCTCGCCGAAGCCGTGGAGCTTCATTCCATTGCCGCAGAGGAAGAGGCGCCCGCCCTCGTCATGTCGCATGAACTCTTCGTATGACATGATGCGTCCATCGGTGCGGAACTGGTGAGAGGCTTCTCCGGGGTAGTGCTTCAAACCGAACTCGTTGTTGTCCATGATGAAATGCTGCGGAGCAAAGGCTCGTACGTATCTAGTGCATGTTAGCCCTTGATTGACGGGTGGTGAAATGCGAAAGAATTGTCATTTCGAAAAACTTACCCTTCGCCCTTATTCTGACACCCTAGGTGTCCAGCTCCCCAACAGGGATCAATGAGCTTCCATTCCCCGTTATCGATCTTGACGGCGTTCCAGGCATGTGTCGATTCATAAGGTGGTGTGGGTTGACCAGGCTCCAAAGGTGCGTGACCGAAGCCCTTACACGCACCGGAACATACCATAGCTTCTAACCCAGCTTTCAGAGCCAGAGCAGCGAACAGACCGGCATACCCTTCGCATACTGCCAGACCTGATGCAATTGTCTTTTCGGGTGTAGTAGGCATAACCGTGTTATTGAAGAACGAGTGAGTATCGTAGTCGACGTTGTGATGAAGCCAGGTGAAGATGGCTCGAGCCTTGTCTGTAGGTGAGGGAAATTGTGAGCATAGTTGATGAGCAAGCCAGCCCACGTCTGAGTTGGGAAGTTGGGTACGAGGGAACTGCGCAGCGTGATTGTCTGGGCCTGAGAAGTCCCGACACTTCAGGCAACTTGATGGAGCAGCACCTGGTTTCGGCTTAGAAGCCATGATGGCGCTGAGGTTCGGTCTGGACGACATGGGAACAG